AGGCTCTGGGTTTGAAGCCAGCCCAGGCAGGAAAAGTCTGTGAGACTCTATTAATCACCAAAAAAAACTGGAAGTGTAGCTGTTGGCTTATGTTGTAGAGCAAAACAAAAACAAAACAAAACAAAAAACAAAACAAAAAAACCCCTCTGAGACAGTGCCCAGGCTGTGAGTTAAAACCCAGCACACACACACATACATACACCCACACACAAAACACACATCCACACACCACACACACAAACACACACACACACACACACACACACACTAAGTGGCAAATGCTCAGTGTTAAGGATTCAACTGTTTAGAGTGAATATTCAGTTCAGTGCCAAAGTTACATCCCCGAATGGGGCACTCATAAATGGCCTCACCCCTGCTGGTGGCTTCCAACTTTAAAAAAAAAAAATCACTAATCTTCACAACTATTAGGTGTTATCAGTCACATATTCAAGATTGTCATCTTCCATACAGTCTACAGAGGAAGCTGGTATGTCTAATAGTACCAACTTTACTTCCTTCTGCCTGCACCAACTGCTCTTCCAGGAGGCAAGTCTAGGGGGCTCCTTGGGATGGGAGAGGAGACAAGTGGAAAAAAGCACTGAGTATACATGTGTAGCACTACATCCCCCTACCCCGTGCCCAGACTGGCTCTTAAAGGTTTTCTGAATGCAGGTGAATCCTCTCTCCCCCTCTCCCCACTGTGATATATCTCAACCATACTTGGCTTGTGGGTTTGGGGTGGGCTTTTTTTTTTTTGTTTGGTTTGTGTGTGGGGGGGGGCGTGCTGGTCCTGGGTGTTGAAGTAAGGACATGGGCACCCCTTAGCCTATTTGCTCAAGGCTAGTATTCTACTACTTGAGCCACAGCTCCACTTCTGGCGTTTCAGTGATTAATTGGAGATAAGAATCACATGGGCTTTCCTGCCTGGGCTGGCTGCGATCCTGAGATCTCAGCCTCCTGAGTAGGTGCGATTGCAGCCTTGAGCCACAGTGGCGCCCAGCTTGACTTGGTGGTTTTCAACCCAGAGATGTGAGGTTGTGCTCTTGATTGCACAATCTTTTAGCAGCACCTTTGAGCCAGTCTGCAGCCTGCAGCCTGCAGCCTTGGGTTCTGGTCCTGATCTCCAGGAGTGGCTGGCCTTCCCCTCTTGGGTCACCATGGTAGCAGTGCCCGCTTTTTCCTCTCACAACTCTGGGGAATTCGAAGTACAAACAGGGCACCTCGGGGAGTGCACAACCTGGCACCAAATGCCATTAGTTTGGTTCCTGAATCCAGGGGGATGGGGGTGGTGTGAGGGAGGGGTTGCAGTCAATCCAGGCTCCTTACCGACGGGGGTGTCCTCCGGGAGGCTGAACAGGGCCATGTTTCCACTGGTGCTGCCCAATCCATTGTCAAAGAAGTGGGGGGCAAAGTTGGGCTGGGCTAGGGAGAGCAGACAGACACTCAGACACCCAGAGACAGAGAAGGGAGGGACACCCGCGCAGTCACTCTTCAGGACCAGCGGGCAGCAGGATGCTCTAACGCCCTGTATGCAGTGCCCTGAGGGTGCCCACTGGACCATCCTGAAGAGGGTCCACTCCTGCACCTCACTTTCTGTGGGCCTCGACTAGCCTCAAGCCTGTCCGGGACCTAGAGCACCAACCCATCTCCATCAAAGAACGGACAGGGGAGCCTTGCCCAGAGAGGAGCAGCGACCTAGCTACGGTCACACCGCGAGGCCGGGAGGCAGGACCTCCTCCCTGGCCCCACACACCGCGGAGCAGCCGAAAATCTCCCGCCCAGAGTCAACAGAGGCTGAGCGCAGCGGAGGGCCTCAGCTCCAGCGCGATCGGCTCTTGGGGAGCGCTCAGGGAGCGCCCCACTCCTGGGACTGGACTTGGTAGCTGGAAGGCTCCCCATGCCTGCCCGCCTGAGTCCAGGATCCAGGATCCAGGATCGTGGTAGCCCTGGAGCCCCAGCAAGAAGAAATGTGGATCCCTCGCCAGTCCCCCCCCCCCTTTTCCTCCTCCCCGTCCTTTCCACTCACCCAGGCAGAAGTGCAGCAGCCCCAGGGCCAGGGCGGCGCGCGGCTCGCGCCTCATGTCTCCGCGGGCCGGTGCAGAGCCTCGCCGCCGGGACCGGGCGCAGGAGCGCGGAGCATGCTCTGGGCGCACCGGTGGAGCGCGGACCTCTGCGGGGCGCGCGAGCGGCGGCGGCGGCGGCGGGAGGGGCGAGGGGCGGGAGGGCCGGGTGGTGCGAGGGCGCTAAGCGGATGACACCCCTGGGATCCGCGCAGCCCGAGGGCTCCTGCCGGCCGCCTAATGAGGCCAATTAGTGGGCACGGAGCACGGGGACCTGCCGCAGCCGTGGGGAGGGAGGGCGTGTCCAGAATGCCCTCCCTCCTACCACCCCACTTTGCCCCTGCCTCGCTCTCAGTGGCAAAGGGACCACTGGGTCTCTGGGGGATGGGGCACTGTGAAGCAGGGATGGAGCTGGGGAAAGTCTTCCTGCCGGTGGCCCAGGGCCACAACTAGAGTCCCTTAAAACCCTTGAGTCCTGGTAGGCCTCAGGCTCCACTGGGGTGGTGGGAGTAGAGATGGGAGGTTCCAGGGGCTTTTGGGCCCTGTCCTGTATCTTTTTTTTCCCTGTTGGCTGGTGCTCACCCCTTTTGCAGCTTTGTGCTAGTTAATTGGAGATAAGAGAACTATGAAATGCTATGCCTAAGCTGGCTTTGCACACAGACCTCAGATCTCATGCTCTGGAGTGGCTAGGATTACAGGCTATGAGTCACCAGTGGTCCTTTCCCTCACCCCAGACTTCCTTTGGCATAATCTTTCTCTGTGACTTACAAGGAGTTTTCATGACTTCTCTGAGCATTCATGAAGATAAAATAGAGGCCAGGAAACAACCCAGACATTAGGCTTTGAGGGCAAGACCAAAACACAGAGAGAAGGATCTCTGCCTATTCCTGCCTTGCCTCCCCAGCAAGCCAACTCTCCCAGAGGATCTCATTAACTGTGTTCAAGAACCCTGTTAGTAGGATCCAACACCTGTGGCCTCCTCCCTACCCCTGTATCTAGTCTGGGACAGTGAGGGGGGTGGGCAGTAGATCCACTCTTCCAGCTGGCCGAGAAAGAGTGAATGCTTTTTTTAAGTAGATTATCTTTAAATAGTTGTACAAAGGTGTTTCTGTTCAACTTGGCACTTTGGGTGTTACAACGCATCTGATCTGATCAGTGTCACAGAGGCCACAGGTGGAGTGGGCCACTCCCAGAATCCTCGTCTTCCTTTGTGTTTTGTTTGGGGCTGAGTCTGCCCTCTTAGGCTGGTATCCCTGGAAGGCAAGTGTCCATGGCACTGTGGTTTCAGCCATGGCACTGCCATCCTGCCCTGATCCCCCAATTAGGTGCCAGGCTGGGCCTTTCTGTTACTAGTGTGTACTAGCTAGGTTGTAACTCACCCACTATGCCCCTCAGAGAGGTAGTGCTTATGGGCTTCCTGCTTTCCTCAGAGTGTATGATCTTGGAGTTATCCATGCTGGTGGATACAAGCTCACATGTGAAGTTGTATGTGTTTCATTACCTCTTTGGGTAGAAGGTGAGAAGGAGGAGGGCCAGGACATAGGAACTACAGTTCTGCCATTTCTGGCTAACTTCTTAGTAATGGGGCTCCTGGTAGGGTTTGACTTGTCCCTCTACCTACCCAGTTTTTGCATCTCTGCCTCTGTGATACTCTCATTCTAGTTAATTCTGCCTTCTCTCATTTGTGCTCTCTCGCGTAACACAAATCTCTCCTTAAGATAAACTCCAAAGACCTGATGAGATCCTGGGTCCTTTGTCCTCCATGTTGCTGTCCAGGTGCTGAATTCTGTTTCAACACTTAAGTCCTCCGGGCTGAGTCTCAGCTGTGCTCCTACTTCATCCCAACACACACTCACTCACATACACACACACACATGCACACACACACACACACACACAGCCCACGACCCGTGTGCGTATGACACATGCCCACACACACTTCCCAAACCCTCTTTCCCCAAAGAGAATGCTACCTTTCACTGACTGAGTTTGTGTGTCAACTTCTCTCTGCTTTTATTTCCCACTCTCCTCCCGAACCCTCCATTCTCAGGTCTAACCTTGGAACTTACAATTTTGTGGAGCAGTAATTGACTTTCAGAAATCAAAGGACCAAGTTTATTCTTTTCCGAGCCCCAGAACCTACTACCGAGTCTGATCATGGCATAATATGGGAATCAGTGACTGGAGGAGTGAGTGAGCTAGAAGCGATGATTATGAGAAGGACTGAGAAGTCTGGCCCATGGTAAGGTAATGACTGCTATCCTCACACTCTGCCTCGGCCTCACTCCTGCAGGGCCCAGTGTTCTCATCCCTGCATGTGGATGTTGTAGGAATGGGACTTCTCACCTTGCTGGGAGAATCCGATCAGAGAGAGCTTTGCTGGGAGATAGATAAGCCTCTTAGATCTGAGCCATCTGTCTCTTCTGTGCCTCAGCTCTGTGTGCACTGTGAACATCAACACCTCTACACTTCTCACACAAAGGAACTTAGGGCAGGGGAAGCAGGGACTTCCTGAGCTATGCCCCTTTGTGAGCTCCTTACACCTGTCCATGTGTCCTCTGAGTAGGTCCTGAAATGTCCATTCTGCACAGAAAGGAACTGTTGTACCTAGGTCACACAGAAAATCTCAGGAGGGCTGGCCTTTGTGCCCGGAAGTGCTGGACACATTGTCCCTCTTCCTCACATGACCTATGACACCAAGATGGAGGTAGATTTGTAAGACCATGGTGGTGCAGGCCTATCATCAATGTTCTCAAACAAGGATGCTTCATAGTATTTTTCTGTGAGTTTAGTTAGATGTGTTTGTTTAGTTGCTCTTTCAGGTTGGGAGGTTAGAAGGGTGGTGGCTGATACTCTGCAGTCCTGGTCTATCATGGGGTCTTGCTACCTTGCACGCCAGCAGGTGTGGGAGTCTCTGGATCTGAGCTGGCACAGGTCATCATGAGGGTCCTCAGTTTTCAGCAAAAGGTGGGTTCTGTGGGGACCAAAGCCTGGTGGGCTGGGCCTGATTCACGATCATTATGAAGGTTGATGACACGATCATGTCGAGGCCCTGATGTTCTAGAACTTTCTCAGGGCCCTTGCTGCCCAAGATGAAGCCCTCCAACATCACAATATATTGCTGTGAAAGTCACAAGAGGCCATCTGGGGGCTTCTGGATGTCTCCAGCTCTGGACATAAGAGTTTCGGTTGGTAGAGCCTGGCTCTGGGAAAGTCACACCTGTGGGAGTGCCCCAGGTACCACCCAAGGCTGGGCCACTGCCTTCACCTTGCACACTCTGCAGACCTTCATGCGATTTCCTGGAAGGGAGCAATAGGCAGATCAGAAGGAGGGAGCAGAAAGTGGGGAATGGAGAGAAAGAGAGATAGACAATTAAGATTCATTCTCAAACACAATGTTCTTTTTTTTTTTCTTTTGTGCTGGTTCTGGAGCTTGAACTCAGGGCCTGGGTGCTGTCCTTGAACATTTTCCCTTAGTTTTTGTGCTCTGCCACTTGAGCCACAGCTCTGCTTTCAGCTTTTTGGGTGCTTAATTGGAGATAGAAATCTCTTGAATTTTCCTGCTCAGGCTGGCTCCTCAGATGTCAGCTCCCTGAGTAGCTAGGATTAGAAGTGTGAGCCTCCACTGTCCTGCTAAATACAATTTTTTTTAAAACTCAAAGCAAAAACCAGATCTTACTTTCTTCCTTGGAGCCCAGAAGGTGACTATCAAGACAAATAAAAAGCTAAGTAAGTGTTTCTGAACTAAAAGGAAAAAATAGAGTAGACACAAATGAATCAGAAGGGTTAAGTTGTAACATATATTGTTCCTCTCTTTTGTTAAAATTATTAGTATATACACTGTAATGTGGAAATTTAAAAACATAGAATCTGGAGCCTAATTATTTGGATTCAAAGCTCATTGTGCCACTTATTAGCTGTGTGATCTTCAACAAGTTTTCTTTTTCTTTCTTTCTGTGTGTGTGTGTGTGTGTGTGTGTGTGTGTGTGTGTGTATGTGTGTGTGTGTGTGTGTGTGTGTGTGTGTATGTATGCGTGTGCTGGTAATGAAGCTTGAACTCAGAAACACATTCTCGCTTGGCTTTTCTGATCAGTTCTGGCAGTCTACCTTGTGAGCCACACCTCCATTTCTGGCTTTTTTCTATTTACTTGGAGATAAGAATCTCATAGCCAAGTGCCAGTGGCTCATACCTGTAATTCTTGCTACTCAGGAAGCTGAGATCTGAGGATCATGGTTCAAAACCAGTCTGGACAGAAAAGTCTGTGACTCTTATCTTCAATAAACTACTCAGAAAAAGCTGGAAGTGGCACTGTGGCTCAAGTTTAGAGCTCTAGCTTTGAGCACAAAGAGGCTCAGGGACAGTGCCCAGGCCCTGAGTTCAAGTCCCAGGACCAGAAAAAAAAAATCTCATGGATTTGCTGGCTTCAAACCTTGATCTTCAGATCTTAGTCTCTTGAGTAGCTAGGATTAGAGGTGTGAGCCACTGGCATCCATCCTAACAAACTCTTACTTTTCCATGCTTTGCTCCCTCCTGTGTGAAAATGAGGACAGTCCTAGTATCTAACTTTTAGGATTATTTTGAGATTAAGTGTGTTAGCAGGCATAAATCCTCCTCCTAGTCATTGCTAAATAAGCGCATGCTAAACTAAAAATAGATTGAATGATCATAATTCATCTACAAGCCTCATGTATTAATCATAAATAAGTGCTAACATTGGTGTGATTTTCTTCCTGCTTTTCCTTCTTCCTTTGAAAGTGCTTTTATCTTCTCATGGTGATAATCACAACAATATAGCGTGTGCTCTTTTCTATTGATATGGTACTATAAGAATTTTCCACTAGCATTCCTGATGGAGGCCCACGGTTTCCTGACCACTTCCTCTACCCGCATCCCTACCTTTAAATCCCAGACAGCCTTTTCTAGGTTTTACAATAAACATTGTAGTTGAGTGCTGGGAAGTTGGCTCAAAGCTTAGAACCATAAAACCTTAGCACCATAGAAAGCAGAAAAAAAGCTGGAAGTGTCTCAAGTGGTAGTGCACTAGCCTTGAGCTGAAGAGCTGAGGGACAGCACCCAGGCCCAGAGTTCAGGCTCTATGACTGACAAAACAAAAACAATTGTGGTTGATAGATTGCACATATGGGAAAAATACTCTGCCTTCTCTTTTGTGGTTACTTTCACTATGATATAGAATCCATTCCCCTGCTTCTGGTATCTGGACTGGCTTTATGACTTGCTTTCACCAATATCATGGGGTGGGATGAAGGTGGACTAGTTCCTGGCCCCTGCCTAAAGAGGCCTTAATGTATTCTCCATTATGTAAGTGGAGTTCAGCAACCCTGAGTGAGCAGTCTGCGATAGCATGCTTGGGGAATGAAAAACCATGTGCAGAGATTCTAAATGTTCCAATTGGGCCCATCCTCCAACTTGAGGCAGGCAGGAGAGCCTATCCAAGATCCACAAAGCCACTTTGCTGAGCTCTAAGAAGAATGGATGAGGCTTGTGATCTAATCACTGGGAAGCTGAAGCAGGAGGACTGTGAGTTTGAAGTCAGTCCAGGCTTTACAGTGAGACTCTGTCTAAGACAAAAAAAGGAGGAAGGGAGGAAGAAAGAAGAAAAGGAAAGGAAAAAAGAAAGAAAATAGCAGGGAAGGAAAGATCAGGAGAGAGAGAAAGGAAGGAAGGAAGAGAAAGAAAAGAAGGAAGAAAGAAGGAAGAGAGACAGAAAGAAAAAAGGGAAAAAGAAAGAAAAGGTGATAGAAAGAAAAAAAAAACAAGGGACAAAGAAAGAAAAGGTGATAAAAAGAAAGAAAGAAAACACTGCGCACCAGCTAATATCTGTAATCCTAGCTACTCAGGAGGCAGAGGTCTGAGGATTGCGGTTCAAAGCCTGGGCAGGAAAGTCCGTGAGACCCTTATCTCCAATAAACGAATCAGAAAACTGGAAGTGGTACTGTGGCTCATGTGGTAGAATGTTAGCCTTGAGCTGAAGAGCTGAGAAACTGTGTCCCAGCTCAGAAATCAGGCCCCATGACCAACAAAAAAAGAAAGAAAGGAAGGAAGGAAGGAAGGAAGAAAGGAAGGAAGGAAAGAAGGAAGGAAGAGGATGGAATCAGCTAAACCTAGAAAACATATCTAGCGACATGAAGAATCATGGAAAATCATAAATACAAAGCTGGGGATGGCTCGAAATGCAGCTATGGATATAATTACAAGGATTATGGCTATGGATCTGAGCTTTCTCTACCTCCTTTCAAGGCCCATTGTTCTGTGTCTTCATGTCTTCTCTGGAATAAGAAACTTCAAGCCACCACACTGTCTTCAATGGGTAGCTTTCGTCCCTGCAACCTGAGGTCTTTTTGCAGACAAGGATGGATGGCCACTTGGTGGCTTATGGTTTGCACTGTGAGTCTGCCCCCAGGATAGAGTTCCTCTGCTGCACTTCGATGCAGGGAGGTGGCAGCGGCTCTCTGAACCTGGGCAGTCTCTCAGCTGCCTGGGTCTCCCAGAAGCTTTTCCTCTGTCAGCCTCAGGAAAGTGGTTGACAGAGGTCTCAAACTCATAGACCTTTCAGCTGATGGGGCCTAAACAATCATCAATCGGACTTCATAGTCTTGGGGCCAGTGCTGGATATCCCTCAAAAGCCAATATGGCCAGTATATTGAATGTTTCTTAGGGGAGAGGTTGGGGGAGTTATAGCTGAAGTAATTAGAGCCTTTGTCTAGCAAAAAAAAGACAAAAAAAAACAACAATTAATACTGGGTGCTGGTGGCTTGCACTTGTGAGAGACTCCATCTCCAAAATAACCAGGGACAAGGTGGAGTGGAGGTGTGACAAAAGTAGTAGAGTATAAGCTGTGGGACGCAACATGAGCAAGTGTGAAGCTCTGAATTCAAATCCCAGAACCAGGCTGCTGTGTGGGACGCTACGCACTTTCAAAATACTTGAGAAACTCTTTATTTTTAAAGTGAAGTGATAAATGTGGCCAATGCAGCAGAGCAGCCATTTATCACCTTTAAATTTCAAAGATGGCTTTGGTCCCTTTAATGCAGAATCTTGGCTGTCTACAGCATGCTGTCTATGCCCTGCATGCAACACGGGGCTCAGATTCAGAGTAATGCTTAGGAAAGCTTTAGACTGAAAGGAGTCACCCCTGCATTCTCTCTGAACTGGGACAGAAGGCTGGATTTCAAGAGCTTGGAAAATTCTAAAATCCTGCTCTGTGTCACATAACACTTGATTCACCTCCTCCTCTCTGATCATCCCCAGGTTGGCTTGTAAGACAGCCTGGCCTTTGCTGTTCCATGTTGGCACTGCTCCGGAGGCCTGATTAGGGCCTAGCCTTCACCTCAGGTAGCAGGCCTTGTGCTATGTGGCAGGCTGGATGCCAAGGGCTTTATGGACATGACCTCATTGACCCCTTACCACAGCTCAGCCAACCTGGGACCTGCTCAAAGGTATGCAGCCTGCAGACTTCTGCATCTACCTGGCCCCGGCCTGTCCTCATCCAGAGGCTGCAGGAACTTTCCCTCTAGAGAGAAAAGGCAAATTGTCACAGGAAAGAGGTCCATAGACTCTGGTTTCTATTCTGCCTCAGTTTCTTTCTGAGTCTCAGTTTCCCAATCTATACATTAGACACAAGACCTCCAGGATTTCAAAGAGATTGCATGGTCAGGACCCAGTCAATATATTTGTTTCACTCTTCTTCTTCTAAGTTGTTGATCCATTTCTGAAATGGTATCTTGAAAATATACACACAAATAAGAAATCTAATCTCCACATAAGGGCCATGGATCTAAATAGTTCTGCACTGGAGAAGGTTGTGCACAAGGAGCAATTCTGGCTATTTCCTATGAACTGTGTATGTGTGTGTGTGTGTGTGGTTTATGTGTCTATTTCTGGCTTTCTAAGTATAGTTATGAGGTACGTGTTATGATGCATTTGTGTAGATATGTATTTGTGTGTGTGTGTGTACCTGATAGTATATGTGTTCATGCACAGTGTATGTACATGTCTGTGCATTGTATATTTGTGTCTTTGTGTTTAGTGTTTTGCTGACATGTGTGGCTAGGTGGGTAGTGTGTGTAAGCTGTGTATACCTGTACATCGTTGTGGGGCATATATGTTTATGTATGTATGCATGTGTATACATATCTGTGTGTGCCTGAATGCATGTGTATCCATGTTATCTGTGTGTATGTATGTGTGTAGTGTATGGCATATGTATTTTTGTCTGTTTAATCTGTGTGTTATATATTTTTATTGCAAAAGTATTGTACAGAGGGGTTACAATATGTATAGCTCTTTGTGTATGTCATGGTGTGTGTAGTGATGTGCTATGTATATGTGTTTGCGTGTATTTGTGTAAGTGCCTGTATATATGTGTTATGAATGGGTGCACCCCGCCCTTCAATTTCTCCCTCCTGTCTCTGAGTATCCTGCCAGGGAGGATGGGCAGGTTGGAACAAGCCACCTTTCTTCCTAGGTTTGCATCTCATTTCACAGAAACACTGCTGCTCCTCGGCTCCTCCTCTTCTAGGCCTGGGGGGACTGAGCTGTAGACAGGCATTGCTCACCCTCCACCTCGCCTGGGTGGGTGCCTCACACTCAGTTCTCAGTTCTTGAGGTGTATGTGTGACAACTGGTTATTTTTACTCAGCCCCACTCTGGGTGTGATGCCAGTTGGAAGGAGGGGCTGTTGGGGTGGCCTGAGACTGAAGCCTTCCTGCTCCCCTCCCTCTAACTTTACCACCATCTTCCCCGTTTCTTCTGGGGTAGACATAAGGACCCAAGGCTTTGCCATTGATTGCAAGCCTCTTTGCCTTTTTGCTTCTTTGCTTCGGTGCTGCCCAGAGGAACCAGCAGGGCTGCAGAGCTGAAGCATAGGCAAGACGCTGGTGTCCAGGCTCTGTGGCCTTCCTGCAGGGCTATGCCCACTCTGTGATCTATGGCCCTCTGACCACAGAGGTCCAGCAGCACAGGTCACATGTGTCGGGCTGCCCCTGGCCTGGAGCCTCAGTGCTAGGAACCCACAGCCTTCTTGGGCCAGGCTTTGTGCCCTCTTAGTACTCAGTGGATCATTTCTTCAAGTCTGAGAAAGGTCAGGCTGTGAATTTTTGCAACTCATCCTGAGCATGGATTCTGGCTTTGAGCCTCCAGCTTGGTGCCTGGGTCTGCTGTCTGGATGCCTGAATCTTTGGGAGCCACCCTGTTTTCCACCAAGTTGGGGCTTCTCAGATGCCATCCCCCATCAGTGACTTGAATTGAGACCTGATATCACACCTGTTTGCAGGGGTGGGGTGGGGTGGGGCTCTGTACTAGTGAATAAGGCCAGGTACAGGTGAGGGCCATTACAAGTCTAGCCTGTCCTGTGTCTCCTCTGGGTCCTAGCAGGGTGAGGATACTTACCTTTCTGGGTTGTCTGGTTGCGGCTAGGAGCTAGGCGACAACAGAACCTGAGTTTCCCAGGCTTGGCAAAATGCCTTCTCCCTGAAGACACAAAGAAACAGATACTTTAGTGGGTTTGAGACACCCTGGAACAGATCTTTGCAGAGACAGCTCTAGTGAGTTTCTACTTCCAAGGCTCAGTGTACAGAAATATTTATTCAAGGAGACTCAGGATGAGCCAGGCTTCAGGAGGGAAGTGGTGTGTGTGTGTGTGTGTGTGTGTGTGTGTGTGTGTGTGTGTGTGTGTGTGTGTGTAGGTAGTGGGGCTTAAACTCAGAGCCTAGTGCTCTCACTTGGCTTTTTTGCTCGTAACTGGAGCTGTACCACTTGAGCTATGTCTACACTTCTAGCCTTTTGGTGGTTAATTGGAAATTAAACTCTCAGGGCTTTTTCTTCCCTGGTTAGCTTTGAACCAGGATAAGAGATGGGCTTTGTTATTACTTTGCATAAACAGCAAAGTCAGCTTTGGTGGGTAACAATGCTCTAAGAATAGATCTTTCTCAGGCTGCTCAAGTCTAAACACAGTTTTGGCACTGTGGAGAAATGATGTTATTCCACATAGCAATTCTCTTGGAAATCTAGTTTAAGAATCCTAAATAGAAGAAATATTTATATACACATAGCTCTGTTCCACATATTAATACATTATGAAGTTATGAACCATTGCAATGCCCAAGGACATGAATTCATGATAGTGTGCTTCATTCAGGGTGGTAAGATACATTTACAAGTATTAATTGACTAACACCACTTCTGGAATCTGCCAGATAGTCTTAAAGGGATAGAACCCTTTATGGGGAAAGGCAGCATTTTTTTTTTCTCTGCCGATATTCCAAAGTAAGCAGTTTCTAGGCAACACAAAAAAGCCCCAATACCTACCTCTCTGAATCAGGAGAGCCAAATACTCCTATCTATGGGGCTGAAAACATCACCCCCTGCCCAGCCACTGTTAAACATATACAGACTCTTCCCATGCCATCTTACCTCATTCCATCCACCTGTGGGTGTTTTCTGTGCATGAGATTTTGGAATGCTCAAAATCAGATAGCTAACCAGCTAATTTGACTACTCACCCAGCACAAATTTATACTGACTTAAGCACAACACACGTGGATGGTGTTGAATTTCCAGACAATAAGGACGTGGCTCTAGCCGTCTTGTGGAGTAGCCATGAATCGTAAGAGAGCTGGGAGAGAGGTGGGTGGAGGTTCTGGGCCTGAAGCTGCCCCAAGCAACCAGTTAGGGGGCTATGGTGGATAAGGGTGCTGCCTAGGTTCAGGCTTGTGTCATTCCAGAGCTCAGAATGGCCTTCTCAGACAATACAATAGCTGTCCCTGATTTCGGAGTGGGGGGGACCGATGGGGTAATGGGTGTGGAGCAGCCCTACCTTCCAAGGAGAAGACGGAGAAACAGAGCAGCAGAACGAAGAGCAAGCTGGAAAGGACTAGAAGCCTCATAGTGAGATGCAGGAAGTCTCAGGTCCTGAGGAGGTGAATGTCCTATAGAAGACCTCTCTGGCAGACATTTATAGAGACACAGAGAGGTATTTCCTGATTGGCAGGGTACCACACCCTTGGAATTCTCATATAAAGTACAGTCAGTCCCTCCTAAAAAGGGAAAAATAAACCTAGTTTTTCAAGAAGTCAAGAACATTAAGTGATTTGAAGCATCGAGAACTATAAATGCCTAGCCCTGAGGGTTAGCTCTCCACCTGGCCTCAGTGGTTGGAGCAGGAAAGGCCTGCTGCAAGGTTGAAGGTTAACTTTTAATGTCAGTAATAATCCCATCAAATTCAGGCTTTCATAAATGTGGCTGGGAGAAGGACCATAAAGTCATCTGCAAAACATCAGAGAGAGTCAAATGGCCTGGGTTGGAAGGCTTGCTCTGACACCTGCCAGAGGTGTGATCTTGAAATTGCCATTGAATGACTCTAAGTCTGCTGCCCAAGTGTGAAATGGCGTAGGGTTACTTTTCCTGACGCAGCTCACCAGGCCATGAGATTCAGTTGTCATCCATTCCTTGGATACATGTCCCAGGATGGGCCATACTTTAGGCCTCAGGGATACAGAAGAGGCTGTGTCTGGCCATGGGGAGCTTCTGTTGGTGGAGCTTCTGTGTGGACAGGTATCTGCCACATTGCTGTTGTAAGTTTTGGACATGTCAAAAGGTAGAGAGAGTCATTATGCTGTCAGGGGTGGGGAATGAAGAGGAGGCTGTACAGAGATAATGAGCAGGATGCAGGGCTGGGCTGGCTTGGTAAATTTTGTTGCATGGGCTAACAGAGGAGTTAGATTGGCTAAGGTATGAATACTGGAGGAATGCCTAAAATGGATGAGTGGACTAAGAAAATGTGGTACATGGATACAATGGAATTTTACTCTTCCACTAGAAATGATATGTGAAATGTAGGAAAATGGATGGACCTAGCACAAATCTTGTTAAGTAAGCCAGGCCCAGAGAAACAAAGGACACATGTTTTCTCTCATCTGTAGAAACTAGATTTAAAATACAACCGTGCATGATAGCATATATGGGGCTCACTGCATTTACATACAAACAAACAGACTAAATGATAGTATACTTAGACTTCAAAGGTGTAACTCCTCTGAACGACTAACGTACTGCTTATCAAAATGAATACCAGGAAGTGGAAACATATTTTGGGAGGAGAGCAAAGGGGAATCATAGGAACGGAAGAGAGGTAAGAAAATGTAGTCATTATGTTCAATGCACATTGTGTAAGAATGGAACTATGTAACTTGTGGGTAGGGACAGCAAGGAGAAAATGGAGAATGAATAAATGGGTGACACTGACCAAGAAGCATTGGTATGCCTACCCTGACTTAAGGAATTTTAACCCCCTTATACAACTTCTTAATCATTAAAAGAAAAAAGAAAAGGGGAGGCATGGGAAGACTTTGGTTGGGTAGAGACTGATGATGTAAACATTGAAGGTTTCTCTTCTATTCAGGGATGGTCTCCTGAATGTTTTCTTAATAATGGCATCTAGATTCGTGAGCCTAGGCAAGGCCCTAGCCTTTGGGAGCCATAAAGGGACAGGTATTTCTAATTCATTCTGTTGAGTCCCTGCTTAGGCTGAGCTCAGACCCCATGTTCTGAGCCAATTCTTGCTAGTCTTTCTAGAACAAGCCTACTATCCACTCTTCCTAAGCATTCCAGGCAGTGCGAGTTGTGATGTTAGCTCTCATGCTGTTTCCATCATGATGCAGATCTCGGAGACACTGGGCCTGAGCCCAGGGGACGATAGAAGGTTGAATTCCTGAGAGTTGGGGCAAGTGCTATGGACCCATTGTGCCTTTATACCTAGTGGGGCCTGTCTGTTTAATTGTGAGCAGTGTGTGGGTTCTGCAATTCCTTGAATGTGCTGAAAATCCATGGTGATACCTCTTTCCTGCCCAAAGCAAGCTGTCATCTCTAGGGACAGGAGATAAGGCTCAGGCAATTAGACACAACCCCACAGAAGAAGAATCGGTACCATATGTCCAAACTGGTGTCCAGAGAATACAGAAAGATGCAAACACCCTTCCAGCTACAAGAGTGGAAGGGAACTGTGAGTGAAGGGATTTCCATGTATTTGAACACAGGCTAGGCATTATCTGTGGCTGAAGATAGAAATATAATTTTTATTTTGTAGGTAGGCCAGGATCAGCCAGTGAAGATAGGGTTGGCCATCTCTCCTATGCCTGGATAACTTTGCCTTTCTGCCCAAGGAAATGATTCTGGTTCCTATCCTGGAAGTTCCTATTGAGGATCCCAATATTTTTCCAGCTTTCTAGGATCTCCATGGTTCAGGGCAGCCATGTCAGGTATTCCTTGTTGCAGGGATCTGGCCCATGTTACACTTTCCTTAGCCTTCCTCCTCTGCTATAGATTAGAGGAAAAAAAAAAAAGAGGCCATATGCTTAGAACAGCTAAATGAGCAAATCAATGATTATGGAATATTCCCACAGCCTGAATACTTTTATATATTGTCAAAAGCTTTGAAGTTGTTGGGTGCTGGTGGCTCACGCCTGTAATCCTCGCTACTCAGGAGGCTGACATCTGAGGATCATAGTTTGAAGCCAGCCTAGGAAGGAAAGTCAGGGAGACTCTTATCTTCATTTAAACACCAAATAGTCAGAAGTGGAGCTGTGGCTCAAGTGGTAGAGTGCTAGCCTTGAGCAAAAATGCTCAGGAACAAGGACAATATCTATGCACGTGTGTGCACACACACAGACAGACACAGACACATATGTCTTTAATTTGCAGAAAGAAACTATTTGAGGCTGCTAGGTCAAAGGACTGATAGTATGTCATGTCAATCACCTTCCCCAGGCCTCATCCTGACTCCCTCTGCAAGTGTGCTCTGAGTCCTGATGGCCTGCTTGACTGTGGTGTCTACCAAGACAGCTCTAGAGCTGGTCCCCAAGAGAGACCTCAGGTGGTCACTTTTGGAAAGAGGGTGAAGTACTGGGTGGGTCAGGCTGCACTTGCAGGCCAGCACCAGGTTCTTTGTTTTTCTTTTCTACTTTTTTTTTGCCAGTCCCAGGTCTTGAACTCAGGACCTGGGCACTGTCCCTGAGCTTCTTTTGCTCAAGGCCAGCTCTCTACCACTTGAGCCACAATGCCACTTCTGGCTTTCTATTTATGTGTTACTGAGGAATCAAACCAAGGGCTTCATGCATGCTAGGCAAGCACTCTACCACTAAGCCACATTCCCAGACACATTCCCACCTCCCCCCCCCCCCCCCCCCACCAGATTCTTAAGCCCCAGGCCTATACAGCCAGCCTAGTGTCATAAGATTAGGACAATATCCACAATACAAATCAAGGACTAGCATCACTAGATTTTCATCAGAAGTCATTTGAGAGTGCTGAGTTTTCTGGGTAGCAGCTCACCTTTGGCTGTCACTTACCTGTTACCTGTTGTAACAGGTATTATTTGCATGGAAATAGATCCTTGTTGCTTTTTGGCAAACCATCATCAGAGGGGAAAATAAAAGCGTAGCTGACAGAGATGTAGGGATTAGGGTAATTAATTGCACAGCTAAGGGAAGGAATGGGCTATCCAGGGGCTTTGCTCCTTATACATTTACACATACAACTCACAGACTGTCAGGTTTTCCTGGGACCACATCTTGGGACAAATCTGGCAGGAGCCTACTTGTTTTTTTTTTTTTCCTTCCTTCCTTCCTTCCTTCCCTCCTTCCTTCCTTCCCTTTTTTCCTCTTTCTCTTTATCTTTTGCTTGCTTGCTTCCTCCTTCTTTTCTTTTTTCCCCTTTTCTTTCTTTTGCCAGTAATGGGGCTTGAACTAAGGGCCTTATGCTCTTCCTTGGCTATTTTGCCAAGTGTTGTACCACTTGCATCACATCTCACCTTCAGGCTTTTAGTTGAAGAGTCTCACAGACTTTTCTGCCTGGGCTGGTTTTGAACTTTCATCCGCAGCTCTCAGCCTCCTGAGTAGCTAAGATTACAGGAGTGAGCCACGGGTGCCTGGTTCCTACCTGTTATGTTTTTCTCTTTTCTGTTCTTCCTTTTTTCTATTTTTTTTTTTTGGTCCGGTCGTGGGGCCTGAACTCTGGGCCTGGGCTCTGTCCCTCAGCTCTTCAGCTCAAGGCTAGCGCTCTACCACTTGAGCCACAGCGCCACTTCCAGCTTTTTTCTTTCTGCTTATGTGGTGCTGAGGAATCGACCCCAGGGCCTCATGCATGCAAGGCAAGCGCTCTACCACTGAGCCACCTTCCCAGCCCCTCTTCCTTTTTTCTAATACTGGACATTGAACTTGGAGGCAGTGCTCAGTTAGCAGATGCTGCATCACTGAGCTTCATGCTTTGTGCCCTCAGCTTCTCAAATGCTCCTAAAACCAATTGCTGAAGCAATCCTGTCCCCCTAAGTTGAAATAACACTGGGTAGAGAGAGTAAATTCTAGGTGCAATCCTACACTCTGGGGACCACTGCTGTTCTCAGATTTTCATTCGCTTTTAACATTTCAAAGAGAGTTGTCAACTCCTAGCTTTAAAAAGGGAAGAAACACCTCTGGCTTTTTGGAATATTCAAAATCTCATGCTGAGTTGAGAGAGGTGAAAATGAGAATCATTTTTAATAGGGACACCTGTTGGTTTTCAACATATGCAGTCTTGCCGTCCACTTCCCCCCAAATACTCAAACATAAGGCGTTGAGTGGTTTCCAAAGATGATTTTGAAACCGTGGTAGCTTTCGTGAGAAAGAAGTCTTCAGAGACACACCCAAGGACACCTGGGAATTTACAAGGAACTAAAGAGTCAGTCAAAGTCAAATCAAGCAAATCCCAGAAGTGCACCTTTTCTTGGTTTATGTCCTACATTGCTCTTAGGCAGCACCTTTTCTTCCAAGAGGATTTTATAGACCCCATAATGTACCAGTACTTTAAATTGCTCAGCAAACTGCACAACCCTCAGTATGGTGCCAGATTCCCCTTCGCCCTCCCCCATAGAATTTCTCAACTGGAACCTGATCTGTTGGATTCCAAAACTCCCAGAGCTCCAGAATTCAGGAGCTGTTGGAAATAGCCTTTAACATCCATGTTTAGCTCTGAAACAAGGACACAGGATGACCCATTCCAACAATGATACCCACAAGACAGTATATTGAAATGAAATTTATAACTTTGAGGGGGTGGAGGGGGAAGGAGTGAGGGAGGTGGGAGACCAACAAGGGAAGGGGTATAATGCTCAAGAAATGTACTCATTGCCTTACTCATGTAACTGTAACCCCTCTGAACAATATCCTTACAATAAAAATAAAATTAAAAAAAATCGATGTTTAGCTTACAGGCAAGAATAATTCCCCTCCTATTGACAGTTACTTGAACTTCCTTCTACGCCTCAAGCCTTGCAGGTCTTGCCTGCAGCTGCTGGGTTACTGCTTTAGTCAGGCTGGCTTGGTGGTGAGGGAGTGTTTCCTCAATGCTGGTCTTACTGGCTCACTGGTGCTGTGAATTTCTCCACTGCTGTTCACGTCTCCTTCCACACAGGTTGGTCTGTTTACCTGCTGTCTTGGCTATGGGGTTATCCTGGCTCACTATGGCGTTCTCACCAGACCAAGGCATTCCTCCACTCCAAGGGCCGGGATCTTACCCTCTCCCACAGGCAACTGAGGCTGGTAGAGACTAAAGGCACTGTCCGGCCACTCCACACTGGTGTTGGAGCACCTGTGAAACCGGACTGTCTGTGGTGGAAGAGGCCCCCAAACTTTTTTGCCTGCTCTCTGGAGCTGTGTGGGTTCTCCCCCATCCCTCACCATTGTGCTTCCTGCCCCAACACATTTTCAAGCAACTTTTGTCTTCCTGCTTCCCCCCATACTTGTTGAAAACACATACAGGTTCTATTGCCACATGACCAAGGCTCTAATCAGAACGCTGTTTTAGCTGTGTGACTTGGACAAGTTGATCAACTTCTCTGTCTGTGCCTGTTTCTTTCAATGTAAATTAGTAACTGGAGCTGCATAGTTAACAGGTTTGCTTGGTGTTTAATGGCAAAGTGTTTGCTCCAGGAAGATTTTATGTAGTCTAGCTGATTTCCAGATCCAGGTTTATCGCTTCCCCTTCAAAGTATTTATTGTATTTGTCAACAGTTAAGGATGACTCTACATTCAACTAAATCAAGTCATATTCATCAGGAAATTCTAATGAAATTTTATTTTCAATACCATCTAAGATTAAGAAAAATTCTGGCTATTTTTGGTTTACTTCCTAAGGTTTAAGATTTCCAACTTGTGCAGAATTCACTTGCACCATGCTAATGTTTCCTCATTTTATGACCAATTATCTGTACGGAATTATGGGGTAACAGTGATGTTGTGTGTGGAATGATTGAAAGAAACTAATTACCATATCCATTATGGAGCACTTTTTCCTCTTGTCTAACTGAATGCTAACTACAATGTCTTTTTTTTTTTGGGGGTCTGGTCTTGGGGCCTGAACTCTGGGCCTGGGCACTGTCCCTCAGCTCTTCAGCTCAAGGTTAGCGCTCTACCACTTGAGCCACAGTGCCACTTCTGGCTTTTTTTGCTTATGTGGTGCTGAGGAATCGAACCCAGAGCCTCACGCATGCAAGTCAAGCGCTCTACCACTGAGCCACCTTCCCAGCCCTAACTACAATGTCTTCATTCCCTCTAACCCAGTAGTAGGGTACCCACCTTTCTTCTGAGAATTGTTTACAATTCCTTGTGTAACAGACCATCAAACTTCTTTGCCTAGAATATTTCACTTAACACAATACCTTCTAGGCTTATCCATGTTGTTGCAAATAAAGTTTGTGTTTTCTAGATGGACACCAGGTTGATTCCATGTCTTGGTTCTTGTGAACATGAGGGTGCAGGTACCTCCTTCAACACAGATTTCAAGATCTCATGTCTGGATTTCACTACCTTTCCCTCAAAAATCTCTCCAAGTTACCCAATCTTCACTGTTTCTCTTGCCACAGAGCATAGGAAACACACACACCATTGGAAATTTAGGTCTCAATTATGGCTAGCACTTCATATATACGTGCTTTCTGATGGGGGGAAAAGTGAGGACCAGTAGAGCAAGCACAAGAGATTTAGCAGAAGGGATAATATACAGAAAGAACAGGGCAGGAATGTAGTCAAATGCTTCTGCTAGAGCTCATGGTGGGAGAACAGCAGGGGAGCTTGGGATGGATCCTGTTTTGTCTCTTCTGTATCTTGCAGTTTGGCAGACTTCCAGGGAGAGGTGTCACCTTACTTCTTATTCTTGCTCCTATACCTAGCACCACTAGAACAGGTGAGGTGAGCAATGTGGCAACAGCTGTAGTCCCAGAGATGTTGCCTCAGCTAGGAGTCAGAGTTGTTGCGGCCAAGCCCTTGTACTTGGAGGACTCTAGGGTAGACAAAAAAACTGGTTCTCCAGCATCTTTTACCATTTCAACTTCTTACAAAGTGTTTTTAATTATTTTCACTTTCTAATATACCCTTAAGGAAAAAAAAGACTGAAAAGATTCCTAGAGCTCCTCACTTACTAAATGTCAGTTGTTTTCCTGCCACTCAATTTATGACAGTGAAAATATTTCATTTTCTCAACTTCTTTTTTTTTTTCTGGGTCCGGTGGTAGGGCCTGAACTCTGGGCCTGGGTGCTGTCCCTCAGCTCTTCAGCTCAAGGCTAGCACTCTACACTTGAGCCATAGCACCATTTCTGGCTTTTTTTTTTCTTTTTCTGCTTATGTGGTGCTGAGGAATCAAACCCAGGGCCTCATGCATGCAAGGCAAGCGCTCTACCACTTCTTTAAAAATCACTACTTTACTTAAATAAAATGGCCAACTGCTCATATCTTTCTGAGGCATGTGAGGGTAAAATCACTCAACTGTGAGCATGTAGAGTTCTGTAGGAGTTTCTACTGCTAGTGTTATGCTCACCTTTGGTACTCAGCTCCACCCAGACCTGAGCCCCCCTCGCACCCTGGAGATCCCTCCATACAGACTGTCTCTCCCTCTTTCCACCCAGACCCTCCTGCTACCTGGATGGTGAGGGAGGCTCCCTCTCGGGGGAAATATGGCTCCCCTAATAAACCTTATAATCTTTCTCCTGTGCCTGCCTGCCTCTGTGTGGTCCCTTGGGATGGGTGTGTCTGATCCTCTTTCATCTACAATCTTTCAAATCACACAGAACTTGGTCAGGGTCTTGCAGGTGGAAGCTAATCACTCTGCTAAGTAGGTTAAGACACCTCCCATGCTGCTGCCTGTGGGAATAGCCCAACATTCTTTTCACGCCAAAGCACAACCCTTCCCATCCTCACTTGGCACATTTGCTCGCTACTTCCTGCAGACTCTGTTGCAATTGCTCTGGATAATCCTTTTGTAGTTAATGAATAACTTTACCTTAGTCATCAAAGTGCTTGTTGCTATTTCCCAAGATTCAATTGTTAACTTAATAGAACACCAACAGTTGATCTCTTAAAAGGACTTACATTGAAAATTCAAGCTGTTGTTAGGGCTCTAAATTCCCCACTTGCTGTGAGGATTTCTGACTTCAGCATTGTGTTCAAAATTCACCAAGGTCAGCTGCCCCTCTGGTGCCTTCCCTAACATGCTTCTGGCCACTCATCCCTGTGTGTCCCCACAGCTGATGCTAACAATCAACACCTCCATTCAGCACCAGATTTAAGAAGTGAAGGGTTTAGACTGAAACAGAGGAAGTCTACCTACAAGACTCACCATCTCATTACACCATATAGTAGCAAGAGCCTGAGTTTCTTTCTTGAATAAATCAAGATTCAAATGAGGTACATGTTTCAGGCAGAAAAAGTACACTAATCACCATCCAGCTGGCATCTTTATTATTTCAGAAATAGATATCCTGTGTACTTTGAAGTGGTTAAAATAGTTATTTCAGGATTACTGTAATAAAATGTTCCCCAAGAATAGCAATCATCTCAATAATCATACAGCTCTCCTTTCATTCACTGAAGACTTCCCCAAATAACTATTATGTATCAAAAAACTTACAAATATCATGAGAAAGCTATGTAGGACAAAAAGGAAATTCTGCTAGGGGAACCAATGAACTACCTCGGATATCCCACATACACTTTTGATGCATACATATTTTAAAGAAAAAAATTTTTTTGCTTTGTTTTTCAATGCTCAGTCTGAGAGAAAACGGAAAACACATACAACAGTTTCAGGAGTAAAACATTTTCACAATCTCTAGAGTAAGCTACAAATCGGCTTTTTTGACAAAGCCTTCAAAACTTTGAGATGATAAAATGAAAGCATGTATCTCAATTAGACATTCAGTAAATATGCACAAAATTCAGCAACTAGTGAATATCTTTCATGTATACCTGACATAAGCATCAAATATACTTGTGAGAGTAAGATACTTTGTTTTAGACATTTCAATGTAAAACATCTATACATACATAATTCTATCAGGGTCTCTCCATATGATTCACATTCTGGACTGTAACAACATATCAACACTGGAAAAAGAGTACTAAGGAAAACAACAGGAGAAGAAATCCTACATTTTTCTTTTACAGGCTAATGAAAACACAGCAGGTGTTTGTTTTCAAATAGTCCAAATAATGTTGTTCACTAGGGCTCTTCATAATTACATATTGCTAAGTCCTACGACTGCCTTTCTCTGCTCTCTATATTAAATCCTTAAAGTCATTTATAACATCACAATATTTTCTATCTACCAACATATGTAGGCTAACTCTTCATCTAATACACTTAATTCTCATAACACAAATCTTAGTTTTCATGTTTGTTAAAGAATGTTAGGATTATTTATATATAAGAGTTGAAAATATAGCTTATCTGGAAGAGTACTACTCAATTTATTCTCTAGAAGAAAAAGCAGACCTGAAGGGTCACATTACTGGAACATTTCAAACATGTTGACAGGTTCTTATCTTCTAAACTTCAATGAAAGCTGCTTGTCCAAACTGTGCAATGAATATCTGCTCCTATTCAACAGCAAGACATCTGATGTGTTGGAGGAGTCAGAAGCTGTCACTTCATTTCTTTCTGTTACCTCCAGTTGCTAGCATAGATGCGACGCGCATAAATATATTCAGCGTATCCATGTAGATTCCCAACATCCTAGAAAAGGAAATTACGCCCATTATATATGATGCAATCCTAATGACATAAAGACTATTTCTTAACATAGAAAAGAAAAAGAAATATTATTTGTCTTAGATCTATGAAATGGAAATTTATTTAAAATAATGTTTAACTGCTAACCACCAAACAAGTCTTAAATTAGAAAAGAGGCATTTCCCCCCCGGTAGAGTTATCTTTAAATGTTAACGGTAATCTTTAAAGGCATTATTCTATATTTTATTCTCTGATGCACTAAATATAATATCTTGCAAAGAAAGAATAAACAAAACAAACCTTGGGTGTTAGACAATGAAATAATCAAAATAAAACCAAAGAAACACCTAAGAACTTGTTAGACACAGTCTGGAATTTAAAAATATGTCAGTTTCACCTTCCTAAAGAAAGCTCAAGGGCTGGGAAGGTGGCTGAGTGGTAGAGCGCTTGCCTTGAATGCATGAGGTCCTGGGTTCAATTTCTCAGCACCACATAAGCAAAAAAAAAAAAAGCTGGAAGTGGTGCTGTGGCTCAAGTGGTAGAGTGCTAGCCTTGAACCGACGAGCTAAGGGACAGCGCCAGGGCCAGAGTTCAGGCCCACGACCAGAGGCACCCCCCCCCCAAAAAAAGAAAGCTACAAATCTTTACAGAAACATTTTTCAAACCATTACAAAATATTTTAGATTAAGCAAAACAAATTACTTTAAAAAAATGTGACCAATACCATGTAACTCTAAGAAACTTAAAAAAAAAAAACTACTGAAGTAGACTCCAAGAAAAGTGATATATAATATTAAATGCCACTTAAATATCTCAAAAAATGGAGTTGTATCCTGAATATTAAAAATTTTGTTAATTTTTAGAATTATAAGAGCTTATTCTATACGTCTCTAAAAACTGAAGTCAATTATGTATATTTTCCCAATAAACAGAATATACAATTCAATGGAATAACTAAATTGCATATGCTTGGTTGCCATATAAACAGATGTTTTCTGGATCTATACATAGTTTATGAAATAAAATAGCAAAATTTGATAAAGTCATCCTCTCAAAAGATACCTAGAAGTTCTAACCTTGGGATCTGTGAGTCTGATTTTTCTCGGAAGACATAACTAAGATTTTTTTTTTTGGGTCCGGTCGTGGGGCCTGAACTCTGGGCCTGGGTGCTGTCCCTCAGCTCTTCAGCTCAAGGCTAGCACTCTAACACTTGAGCTACAGTGCCACTTCCGGCTTTTTTCTTTTTGCTTATATGGTGCTGAGGTATCGAACCCAGGGCCTCAGGCATGCAAGGCAAGCACTCGGTACCACTGAGCCACCTTCCCAGCCCATAATTAAGATTTTAAGGTAAGTAATGGTAAGGTCATACTAGAGTAGGGGGTGGGCTTTCATCCCAATATGCCTGGTGGACTTATTAAAAAAAAAAAAAAAAGAAAACCTGTTTTTAAAAAAATAGACAAGACAGAATTAAAAGAAGAAGAGACACAACCCACAGGAAACATGGCAAGTGAAGTTGGAGGATTGAAATATCAAGCCTTGCCAACAGTAACAAAAAGCTGTAGAACACAGAATAGATTTTTCCTTCAGAGTGCTCAAGAAATCTAGGTGTTGAAATATAATATTGTACTTCTTTGTAGGCTCCAGGCTCAGGATAGTAAAATAGTAACTTTCTGTTGTCTTAAGCAACCCATCTCAAGATACTCTAAGAAATATAGCCCACGTTAACACAAACATACTTATGTAACAGAGTAACAGCTGTAAGGATTACTTACGAATTGATTGGATCATATCTGTTCTGTCCATACAATGGTGTTCCCTCTGCACGTTTGACTACTTTCTGAGTGTCATATAGAAGGAACATACTGAAAAGAACTAATCCACCATACATTGCCACTGAGTACAGGGTGGCACCAGCCACAGTGTTCGGTGCTAGAAACATGGACCCTAAGATCAAAACAAGAAAATTAAGCTTTACTTTCTAAAAAAAGAAAAAAGAAAAAGAAACAAAGAATTCCCTGGCTGGAGGTGAGGCTCACTGGCAGAGTGACTAGCAAGCACAAGGCCCTGAGTTCAAATCCCACTACCACCCCAAAATGTGCCAGAATTTAGGAATCAAGCACTAAGGATGAAAGCACGGCAGCTTACCCAGTGAAGACACAAACACAAGACCCAGGCCCACTCCCAGTGGTGCGCCCATGTTCAAAAACTTCTCACTGGGAGCACACATGGCCACAGTGGAGAGGCCTCCTACGATGCCGGCGGTGTACCATGCAGCTCTTATGAGAAGGGGTCCCCCCAGTATTGTCAGAGGAGCCACCACGGCACCCATCACACCTGGGGAAAGAGGGAATGCTTGTTACCAAAGCGAAAATGTGGCTTCCAATATGCCATGCTGTGCTGTACCTTATATGAAAACAGTATGATTACAAAATGTTTTCCCTTTATATAATTCCACAACCCAAATCTGAGGCTAACCAAATCCATACCACATTAACTAGGTTCTCAGTCAAATGGTAACAACTCACAAACACTAACATTACTCTACATATTTAGTAACCTTACAAAATTCTGTTTAGCTCTTTATTTGGTCTCAGTCCACCATCGGTTTTTAGTTATATCTAAGGCTTTTAAAAAAAAAAAGGGGAGTCAAGATCAAATCTACTGCTTCCAAAGAGACTAAAGTAAAAGGAGAGGAAGAGTGTAAGATGGTAAGTCTGAAAATACATGAACTTTCAGGACAGATGCTATTGTTACTCTGTGCAGTAGCAAGTGCTTCTGCAGCTTGTAAGTAATTTTAGTTGTTAGGTAAGCATTTTCATAAAAATGAAAAGAGAGCAAAAGTTGAACAAAGATAAATGGAACACCTGAACTGAAAAAAATCTTGATTGAAGACATTATTTCATTACTAAAATGTTAGGTTATTATTTTGTTTGTAGGGCCTGGGCACTAGCCTTGATCAAAAACAGCAATTGGCAGAAAAAATTTTAGCAACCTTTTCTATCTTCAGTTTTTTTCCCCCATAATGATCAGACAAAAGCAATTCTCAAGTAGTAAATCTCAAGTAGTAAATATCAGGTCTGAAATTCTACTGGTATTGGACAATATACCAAAAAATAGTACTCTGCACATATTACCTTGTTTCAGAGACAAGTTCAATAGTGGTGTATGGCCACAGATTTACTATCAGAAATCTACCCTTCAATGTAAATGTCTGACAGTAATGCAACCAGTAGTGACTTCAGAAAATTGTGATTTTTTTTCAACATAAGCTTTCAATATATTATGTATAAAGCCATTACAGCAGTGAAGAGCTAATCTAAAGGGGAAATATTTAAAAACTGGGCCTTGAGAAACCATTAATTTTCATCAGCCTAGGCTACCCAGTAAGGTTCTGTTTCAAAAAAGAAAAAGTTAACAATTTAAAAGAGAACATACCAGAATGTAGCAACCAAGCAAGATGCTTCGGGCCCTTGTTCTGGTGATACGATATGGACTGTACTAGCATTCCAGCTCCAATCATGGCTACGATGGTTGCACCAACTGTCTGAAAGACACACATCATTAAAACACATTAAGTTATTCCTAATAAACCAGTTTTGTGAAGACAAATGATAAAATGGAAAAAGAACCCTGTATTTTTCCAAATACTTTTAAGACACTGAGATTATTTAGGTATTGGCTAGTTTAGCAAGAGTGCCCCCTGCTGCCAGATATGAGCTTCATGAACATGAACAGAACAGACTAATTCCATCATTTTAACAATTTTTTTGTTGGACAGAGATCAAATAACATCTTCTAATAAGACTCAGCAAATAGAATGCAGATATTATTTGTAGCAGATGGAAAAGAGTAAGATCCCACATTTCTGTCCTCCTAGGGTAATGGCTGACTTGGCCTGTGTTCCTTTTCTTTGTGTATCTTGGATTCCCACTGTTATGACATTTAAATATTTTCTGTGTATAGCAAGAAAAAATGTGTACAATGGGAAGATAGTGGTACATTTTCACAAAATATAAAGCAGGAATAGCAAACTTTTGCAACCTTTGGGTAGAATCAGGCAGCAGATATTTGTTGACACATTACTACTAAAACCAGTAAACATTTTTAGATACCAATAATTCCTTATGTGAGCTATTAGGCTTCCTTGTGTGCCTGATCCACAGGCTTGAGAATGCTTAGCCTCTGACATAAAATACAAGTAAACAGCAGGTGTTTCTGCAGAGGGCAAGAAAGCCCTAATTCATGCAGAAAAAGCATACTGGGTAACTACCATTTTCTAACAGAGAAACAATTACTAGAAACCACTTCATAGAATTATTCTGAAGTTTTCAGAACACTTCATTTCAACTGTATTTCCTTCTTTAAAGGTTCTTCTTGATTCAGCTTCATGTTTTGCCTGTTACTTTTCTACACTCTAAGTTTCAGCTACACTGAACTGGAAGCTGCTAGTATGCTCCCCATGTCTCCTTAACTGTCCAATCTGCCTATAAGAAAACCTCCTCGCTATCTGGCTGATTTCCTAAGACTGTTGTTTCAGTACCTTTTTCTAGTCGGTACTTTTCTCACAAGCAATGTTAGATGCCTCTGTCCCAAAAGCACTTGTGAAAATGACTGACTTGTCCTCTTTGCCCTCCCCCTTCAGATCCCATACCACTTCCAAATGGCTACACTTTCACTTCAACATCTGTCTGGCTTTTCTGTTCATAACAGGAAAAGAGTGATCTGCCTACAGTTGAGGGTCTGGTCTAAGCATAAAACTTCTTTAAATAAGACTATGGAATCTTATTTTAAGGCCTAAAATTTACATACATTTTAGTATAATACTGCCACATTTTTTGTTTAAAAAAACAAAAGTCCCAATTTAAGTTGCTTGCTTGACATTTCTCACTATGCTCATTCTATGCCTACATGATCCTATAAGCTAAGAGATTCATGACACTTAGTCAGGTTATTATTATTCCCTTATGCACAACTGTTTCATGTCTTTCTACCTTACCTCTTAATACTCAATTTTAAACTGTACTTTTGCTGTTCTAGTCTCTTTAATAACTTCAATTTGACCGCTGTTCAGTAACATCTGACTCTGAACTCAATGAACTTTGGAAATCAAACATACCTTTTCTAAGTCAAGTCTTCATGTTTAAGACCTCAAATACTTGGAATTTCACTATAATGGGATTGTATACCATTTTCAAATTAGGTTTTCCAAGCTCTTCTCTTTTGCTCATATTATTTTGTAAAATTAGACTGACCTTGTCTCTTCTGAAATAAGCCTTAGTCTTTAACAGCCCTGATCCAACAGGTGTCCCTCACAGAATCTGACTTACAATCTAAGACATAATCTGTCAACCAACTTTGTATTTTCTACTTCTTACTGCAAATCTTATACCATCCATTCCATATCATCTTTTCTTCAGACAGGCAGAATACAACCTAAGTCTGAAATCATAACATGGTTATCAAGAAAAACAGAGACAAACAAACAATAAGTAAAAAGCCAAAATAACAAAAACAAGAAAAAAGACCCCAAGAGGTCAAGAAACATTCACTGACTTTAAAACTCTACGAACAAGAAGCTGAGAAATAATTACAGCAGTGCTATTCTTTAACAGCATAGAAACCTTGGATTTTTTTTAATGTATGTATTTTGTAAAATTACTGTACAGAGGGGTTACAGTTACATGAATAAGGTAATGAGTACATTACCTATCGAGCATTGTTACCTCCTCCTTTGTTTTCCCTCTACCATCCTTTCTCTCCCCACCTCCTCTCCCCACTCCCCCCCAATTGTAAAGATGGTTTTCAACAGTGTGCTGTACATCTCATCGTCACAATGGGTCAACCTACATCTCCATTTAAACATGCCATTTTATCCCTTCTCCTCCCCAGATTACAAAAATGTATATACGAGATGTAGAACACTGGAATCAAATACAGTGAAAACAGGGGGAACAACATACAAAAGACACAAAAGAATCACATAGTGCATTGTAAGTACATTAAAAACAATAGCAAGCAAGGAAAAAACCACATCATTTTATATGGTCATATGTACATAGCCTTTGACCTTCTCTGCTTGTCCTAGACATGTACTAGTCATTGCAAACAAGGAAAACCATGGGACCTATGTTTCTTGGGCCTGGCTTACTTCACTTTTATTTTTTCCAAGTCTTTCCATTTCCTAACAAATGGGGCAATGCCATTCTTTCTAATGGAGGCATAGAATTCCATCGTGTATATATACCACATTTTCTTGATCCACTCATCTACTGAGGGGCATCTGGGTTGGTTCCATATCTTAGCTATGGTAAATAATGCTGCAATAACCATAGTTGTGCTGGTAGCTTTAGTATGGTCTTGTTTGTGATCATTTGGGTAAATGCCCAAAAGTGGGATTGCTGGGTCATAGGGAAGCTCTATGTGGAGTCTTTTGAGGAACCTCCATACTGCTTTCCAAAGTGGCTGAACAAATTTACACTCCCACCAACAATGCAGTAAGGTTCCCTTCTATCCACATCCCCTCCAGCATCTGTTGTTATTAGAGTTCTTGATTATAGCCATTCTAACTGGGGTGAGGTGGAATCTCAATGTTGATTTTCATTTCTTTTATGGCTAGAGAAGTTGAGCATTTCTTCATGTGTCTTGAACATTCTTATTTCCTCTTCAGAAAAGTCTCTTTTTAAGTCTTTAGCCCATTTATTAATCAGGCAGTTGTTTCTTTGAGGATTTGTTGTTGGGGGATTTAAGTTTTCGAGTTCTAAGTATATTCTAGATATGAGACCCTTGTATTTGTTGTATGGCTAGTGAAGCTCTCCTCCCAGTCCGTGGGCTTTCTACTGATGTTGCTTGCTATGTCCTTTGCCATGCAGAAGCTCTGCAGTTTCATGCAATCCCATTTGTCCAACTTTACTTTGATTTGTTGTGTTTCTGGGTCTTTATTAAGAAAATTTTAGCCTGTGCCAAGGAGCCCTAGAGTTTCTCCTATTCCTTCCTGTAATGTTTTCAGGGAGTCTGCTTTTATTTCAAGGTCTTTGATCCACTTGGCGTTGATTCTGGTGCAGGGTGATATATACAGATCTAGCTTTAGTTTTCTACCAGGTGTAAACCAATTTTGCCAGCACCATTTACTGAAAAGGCTTTCTTCAATTCTATTTCTTTAGCTCGTCAAAGATTAGGTGGCTATAGGTCTATGGGTTCATATTTGGGTCTTCAGTCCTATTCCATTGGTCCTCAGGTCTGTTCTCGTGCCAGTACCAAGCTGTTTTGATTATTATGGCTTTGTAGTAGTTTGAAATTTGGAATTGTTACTCCTCTAGTGCTTTTCTTTCTGCTAAGGACTGTTTTTACTATTTGGGGTCTTTTATTGTTCCATATGAATTTTTGGACTGCTTCTTCTATTTCATTGAAGAATGAGACTGGGATATTGATAGGCATCACATTCAATTTGTAGATAGCCTTCGGCAGTAGTGCCATTTTCACGATGTTAATTCTCCCAATCCAGGGGCATGGGAGGTTAAAAACCTTGGATTTTTGTGATAGTTATTTCCCACCAACCTTTAAGGAAGTTTGTATGTTTTCTTTTTTTGTTTAGGAAAATTCCATAACAAAGGCTGTTTGCTATCTGCTGCTAGATAAGGATATTCTTTTTTTCTTTTTTGTTGGTCATGGGGCTTGAACTCTGGGCTTGGGTGCTGTCCCTGCACTCTTCAGCTCAAGGTGAGTGCTCTACTGCTTAAGACACAGCACCACTTCCGGTTTTCTAGTAGTTTATTGGAGATAAGAGTCTCACAGACTTTCCTGCCCAGGTTGAACTGCGATCCTCAGATCTCAGCCTTCTGAGTAGCTAGAATTAAAGGCATGAGCCACCAGTGCCCAGCAGATAAGGATATTCTTGTAAGGTTCATTTACAACTGTTTTGGTTTTATTAAAATATATATTCAACAAAGAACAAAATCTAAACTTTCTCACCTATACTGATTCATGATCACAAGAGCAAAAAACAGCTTAACATGGTATTCAACCATTCACAACAACTCCTGCCAATATATTTCATTTAATATTTTGATTTAAAAAAAAACAAACAAACCAAATCAAACAGGCTGACTTACCACCCAAGAGCCTCTCAGCATGAAATTCATGAGAACAGGAGATTTGGCTATTGCCAAAGCAGACAAAGCTGTTACACCAATACTTCCTGCTAAGTACATATAGGTAGAATGTATTCTATCCTTCACATACTGAGGCCAGATTCTGTAAGAAACATGACATAGTTTATGAAACTATGTGTTAGAACAATCTTCATTTATCATAGAAATAATTAAGTTACTAGAAAGATTAAATGACAAGCACTTGGGGCATGTAAAAATCAACACATATAACACAGGTGAAAAAACATTAGGTTTGAATAAATGCATGCCAAGAAAGCAAAAGATTCTATTTTTATTTGTGTATGTACATAAGACTATCTAAACGTGAATATAATATGAGAAAACTGGAACTTTGTTTTAAAGAAGTCTTAGGATTCTTTATGAGTAATTACTTACACAGCCTTTTCAATGGCTCCAATCTCATTAGACATTCCCAAGCCATAGTAACACAGTGCGCCAAGACCAACAGCAGCCCCTCCAGCAACGAACCACCTTCCCATCTGGTCAACTGCAGAATATGGGAAGAAATGCAGGCAGGCCATGTAACATGTTGTAAGTGCTGCAGATAAGGCTTTCACAACATTCATGAGGGGACTGAATCATATAATTTTTTGTTTTTTAAACAGTCACATAGATGTCCTTCAAGTTAGGAGACCAGTAGTAAAGAGCACCCCTGAAATGAAAGCGTAATAAAAACAAAGGGGCTAGCTATACATGTGCCTTAAGTTGGTAGAGTGCTTGAGTTCACACCTTAGTACTATGAATAAAAGGAAGACCAGCTAAGAACTGTAGTGCATCCTCATACTTGGAAGGCTAAGATAGGAGGACTCTTGAGGAGGACTCTTAAGTGCTAGACCAGCCATGTTACTGAGACCTTGTCTACAAAAAGCAAAAATAAAATCTAACTAAACAAACAAAAATGAAATCCCAGTACTAGAGAGGCTGAGACAGGAGGATTATAAGTTTGAGACCAGCCTGAGCTATCCAGTAAGACCTATCTCAAAAAAATGAGAAACAAAGTAGAAAATGAGTGCTCAATAGTCATTCCATCCTGTGTTTAACGTGATTATTAAGAAGCTTTAAAAGCAGCCAAAAGAGAAGAAAACTGAAGACAAATTGTAGTTTGTCATGGGACTCAAGGTAGAAGATGCTTGTTTTAGAGTGGCAATTCTATTTTGATAGAGGAAGGCAGATGCTTTACTAAGAAACATCTTACTCCCTTCAATCTATATTTGTTCAGAGAATGTTAGTGTACTCATGATTTGTTCTGTAGGATTGAACTAATCAGAAAGAAATATGCTGAGGGATACTGATTAAGGCTCTCCCCCACTTTAATATGCTGACAGTGTCCAAGACTACTAAGGAATAATGGTATTTAAAAATTAAGATTTCAGAAGATTACTAGTTTCTGAACTTGCAAACTGAAATCTAAATGGAATCAGAAAGAGTTCATTAAGGTAAAGTCCTTATGAAAGGCCCTAATGGCCAGTTTGAGGAAGTTTCTCAGATGACTAGGATTACAATAATATTTATTTACATTTTAGTGATTTCTGATCTGAGAAACACATAAACATTACATACTTGAATAGAGATTCTATACAACTTAAATGAATAGGCTATGACTTTCAGATTATGGCATACTTTCCTCCTTCTCCCCCTAAAAATGGTGAAATCAAATCTGTAATTGAAAATTTGGGAACCTAGTGCAACTTTTTTTAAGTAATCACCTTCCTGAGAACAGTAATGGGACCATTCTTTCCAGAAAATGCACAAATTATTAAGTTTCACATATATTATTAAGAGACTGTTATAGACCTCTTAAAACATTTCCATGAACATCAATTTAAAATCTAATGACTGCCACTTACTTTTATATACTTTTTCCATTGATGGCTCGAATGCCGCTTCTTTGAGTTCTTGGGTGGTTTTCCCTCGGCGCATCCCAATTCTTGTCTTGGTGGCATATTCCTGATTATAAAAAAAATGCAGTCAAAAAACACAGGCTACATTCTGTCATCTGGTGAATGGCCTTAAGCAAGTTCCCTCTCCTGAACAAGTCAGAGAAGCATGGTTGCTTCATGTTTTGTTTTAAACAGTGGGGCAGTTGATTAAAAAAAAAAGTCGTTTCTTACTAGCTACTTTATGTCCTTCTTAATTACTGTATACTTAAAACATATACTCCTAACTTATTGGAATGTTGAGGAGAAATCTGTTAGTTGGACATGGAGTTACAAGCTTATAATCCCAACATTGGGGAAGATGAGGCTAGCCTGGATAACACAGTAAAATTCTGACTCAAAGAAAGAAATAGAAAAACGGCTTGTTGTAAAAAGAAAATGAGCTTTACTAGGCGCTGTTGACTCCTAGCTACTCAGGATGCTGAGATCTGAGGCCAGCCTGGGCAGGAAAGTTAGTGAGACACTCTTGTAGGTAGGGATGGGAGCGGGGAGACTGGGAAAGAGTCAGGGAAGGGGTGACACCGTCCCAAAATAAATGTACTCTTTACTTATATAACTGTAACCTCTCTGTACATTACCTTTTTAATAGCAATTTAAAAAAGATAATTAACAAAAGCAACAACAAAAATTAAGCTACTGACCACATGGTGCTAAGTGTGGGCTTTTAAGCAGCTGAGTATAGCCTTATGCAGGGTCTTTTGTTATACCACTTAATTCTCAAGTCCTTGCTATTTACTTTCAATTACAAGATCTGTAAATAAAGTTATAGAACCTTTTCTCTTTCCTATGTGATAGAGGCAGAAATGAGCACCATTATATTCTGCTAGGAACAAAAAACAGAGCTGGGTACCAGTGGTTCATGCCTATAATCCTAGTTACTTACAAGGTAACAATCTGAGGACTGAGGGTGAAAGACTTACCTCTCCCCTCTTGGCCCAATCTTTTTATGTATCTAAAGTTGGAATATGAAGGACTGATTCCCACCCTATTTTCCCAGGTCTATAAAGACATCAGGACGCCAACAAAGATAGGCACAGAATGCCTGTCACAGGCAGGGCAATCCAACCTGAGCCTGGCTGTAAACATTTCATTGTGGGCCTAGACTGCAAGGCTCTGAGGTTGAGCTGTGAGGCCTGGAAAGGGTAAGTGGTTGGCAGACTGAGAACTGGACCCTGTGAGGGACAAACTGCCTAGGCAAGACAAATATAGAGCTGTTTGAAAATTAAAAAAGTTTGAGACATTAGATAAGAAATACCCTATTCTCTGCCTTACCTCTGCAGTCACCCCCTCCCCTCAAACTAAACTCAACTTGTCTCCTTACTCAGATTCCATAAAAGCCTAAACTCAAACTCCACCCCTCTGACACAGTTTCCAAGCTGCTGGAAGGCTATGCCCCTCTTGTTCCTCAATGAGCAGTTCTAGCCTATAGAAGACTGAGTCCAGTCTGTGTCCTTCCTTTCTCCTCCATTTTAACAGAGGGCAAGAAAATCCGTAAGACTCTGAACTTCTATTAACCACCAAAAAACTGGAAGTAGAGCTGTGACTTAAGTGGTAGAGCACTAGCCCTGAGCAAAAAAGCTCAAGGACAGCACCTAGGCCCTGAGTTCAAGCCCAAGGACAGGCAGCAAACAAATACAACCCTACCTCCAAAAAACAAAACAAAAACCCATCCCAAACCCGAATTCCAAACCAGTTCTACAAAACCAGGAGCAGAGAGAAAAATAGACAATATAAACATATTTGTTTACCCTGCTGGGTGTTAAGAGCCATTGATTCTTTGTGATGGAATTCTTCACAACCGGGGAGGCCTTGGTGATAGCTGGGTGGAAAACCTTGGAAGGTAGTGTCCGGAGACACACAAGCCTTGCAGCCAGCATGGTGATGAACCAGGTTTACTAAGCAGATCTGAAATGCTAGAGAGAAGGATAAAAGCATAACTAATTAAAGGAGGATACAGATGAATCAGAACTAGATACAATAATTAGCTTTCATTGGAAATACGGAGTAAGGTGTACACTTTTCTCCGTACACTTTTTCTTTTTTTCTTTGTTGGTTGTGGGGCTTGAATTCTGGGCCTGGGCCTGAGCTCTTCAGCTCAGGGCAAGCAGTCTACCACTTGAACCACAGCACGACTTCTAGTTTTCTGGTGGTTTACTGAAGATAAGAGTCTCATGGGGGGGGGGGGGGGGGGGGGAGGGAGGGGAAAGAGTCTCAGACTTTTCTTGCCTGAGCTGGCTTTGAACTGCGATCCTCAGATCTCAGCCTTCTGAGTAGCTAGGATAATAGGCATGAGCCACCAGTGCCTTGCTTAGGTGCAACACTTTTTCAATGAATCCTCTGCTTGTCTTACAGGAAACCACTCCACAGAATCCTGTTTGGGACGTAGCCATCAAACTAAGTTTAAATCCCAGTTTAAATAATAGTACGTATGACTTTTCAAAAACTATACATGACACAGAATGAAGATTATCTTAAAACCATTGAGAGGATGGTGAGATCTTATGCAAATGTACTTTTTGACTTAATACTTATACCAGCATTCAATAGGAAAGTTTAAAAAGAAGAAGCTGTAGGAATTTTTGAGCACAGGAAAATGTTGTCTATGAAGACATATGACAAAGGGTCAAATATAAATTTCAAGTAGCTGGGATGTAGCTTAGTGGCAAAGTGCTTGCCTAGCAAGTGCATCGTCCTGGGTTCAATCCCCAGTACCAAAAAAGAAAAGACAAAAAAATACAGTTAAAAAAAAAAACCCAGGGCTGGGAAGGTGGCTCAGTGGTAGAGCGCTTGCCTTGCATGCATGAGGCCCTGGGTTCGATTCCTCAGCACCACATTCGCAGGAAAAAAAAAAAAAAAACCCCAAACAAATAAATTTCAAGTAACTCTGTCGGGAGCCAAAAGTTGAGTCTCTCAACATAATAGGCTTGACTATCTCACTGGAACATCTTGAGGCTGAGTTTACAGAATCTGACCCTCATCCTGCCCTAAGTAAACATCCTGCACTGCTATGGCCAATGAAAAAGCTTCCTTAATGGCCAATGAAAAAGCTTCCTTATTCCAAGCATATAAATACCCCTGTATGAAAAATAAAAATTTGCAGCTTGATCAGAACCCTTGTCTTGCTGTCATTCTTTGTGTCTCTTGTCCCTTCATCCCTTCTAGCTTAGGTTCACTGCCCTCGTTGACGTCCTGCGGGTCGGGACATAACTCAAATATTCAAGACAAGATATGGAAATATTCAATTCAGTTCACCTACTCTATATGACTTTCTACATCAAATAAAGGGCAATCTAAATAAACAATCACCAATGAAGTGTCCCTCATATGTTGGTCTCCATTTGTGGTGTCACCACTAGAAAAGCATGCTAAAAATTCCAGCTCCAGGACAATCTATATCAAGTAAGTGGCCATCCAGAAGTCAATATGACAAACGTAAGACAATTTAGGCTTACCAGCCCATCTCTGTCAATGATTTGTAATCAATCCTAGGCAAATGAAATCCTCCTGGGTCTCATTTTCCCCATTTGTTCCGTAAGAAATCTGGACCAAAATAGTACTAGACTACAGTGCTGGCCCTTGGACTACCCACTCTGAAACTACCCAAGATAGATCTTAAAATTAGACTCCTGATGGGTGCTGGTGGGTCATGCCTCTAATCCTAGCTACTCAGGAGGCTGAGGCCTGCGGATCCCTGCCCAAAGCCAGGGGAAGCAAAGTCCATGATACTTCCATCTCCAATTAACCACCGACAATGGAGCTGTGGTTCAAATGGCCGAACACCAGTACTGAACGAAAAAGCTGAGACCCAGGTCCTGAGTTCAAGCCTCAGGATGGGCACATGGAATACAAGTGGGTGCGCACACGCACACGCACGCACGCACGCACGCACGCACACACACACACCCCACCACCACCAAAACTTCTAGATCATACCTTCTGGCAATTATTCTAACTCTAGAAATAGAACCAGGAATATACATTTTTAAATTAGTATCCTCAAAGCTAAGGATTCTAGCGTTGAAATATCCCCAAGTCCTTCCAGCTCTGCCACAGGAACTTTGAAGGTTATAAATAAAACCACTGGGCACCTGACCTTTGGGAAAATCCCCATCTCTTCTGAAACTTTCGTGCCATTTGCATCATCTCAAGCAGAATTTTTTCTAAGTCTTCGGCTCATGGGTTAGGACAGAGGCCCAGGGTGCAGGCAGTGGCCAACTGTATCGTTTGAAAAAAAGCCCAGAGTAGGACGCTGGCGGCTCACGCCTGTAATCCTCCCAAGCTACTCAGTAGGCTGAGAACGGAAAGGATCCAAAGCCAGCCGGGGAAGCAAAGTCCGTGTCCAATGAACACCACCAAAAAAGCCACAAGTGAAGCTGGGCTCAAGCGCACTAACCTTGGGCAAAACAGATGAAGGACGTAGCCTAGGATCTGAGTTCAAGCATGAAAACCGGCACCGAATAATAATAAATAATAATAATAATAAAGCCCCGAGTGGGAAACCTTGATGTCACACATTCTAAAGCGGCCTTGTGTGAATGCTGGGATGTCTGAAACGGGCACCTGATTTCATCATAACGAGACGCACCCGGGCGCGTTTTATGAGCCTGGGGCACCCACCCTATTACCCAGAGGCGAGACCTGGCGGCGGCTCAACCTCCCAACTCCGAAAAGTCAAAGCAGGCCCTACCCCCGGCCCGGCCGCGGGCGCCCTGCTCTCGGCCTGGGGCGGCGGCGGCGGCTGCCAACTCCGCCCGGGCCGTGACTCAGCTCACCGCCGCCCCCCAGTTCCGGCCCCCGGACCAGGGCGCGCCCCGGCTCTCCCAGCCTCCAGGAGGCCGCCCGCAGAGAAGCGGCCCCCGGGCCGGCCGGGTCGCGCTCCAGGGCGCCGCCGCCTCCAACCCTCTCCAGCAGCACCCAGGGGCCCCCGCCGGCCCCAACTTTGAGCACATGGAGGGTCTCCTTCCCGCCCAGGGGAGAAGTACCTCAGTTCCCGGTGACCTCCACCACGCAGTTCCCCTTTCGGGCCTGCGAAAACGCGGACGCCGCACCTTCTCGGCCCTCCGCCCGGTCCTTACTGTCCCTGCGCGCGCAGTCGCTCTGACTCACTGCGTGACGCGACATCCGGAGAAAAGGTAAATAGTACAAACAGCCAATCATGAGCGGGCGTCTGGCGGAAACGCCGGGGAGGGGGCGGGGAAGGATAGGCGGGGTTTTGACCTGGTGGGGGGCGGGACCGCTGGAGGATAGATTGTTGTTGGAAACGTCACAGTGAGCGTCCATGTTGGGTGTGGGTAAATGAAACGGTGTCGGCCATTTTAACTCCGGGCAGAGGGAGCGCTCTAATGTGGCTGCTAATGTTTCTCTTGGCACAGATACAAAAGTTTAACACATACAAAAGTTTAAAAATGGAGAGAGTGGGCCGGGCACTCGTGTGTCTCACGCCTGTCATCCTAGCTAGTCTGAAGACTGAGAGACGAGGATCACGGTTCGAAGCCAGCCCGGGCAGGAAAGTGTGAGACTCTTTCCAATGTATCACCGTTCCCCGCCCCCCCCCATCCCAGCCAGAAGTGGAGCTGTGGGTCAAGTAGTAGAGCGCCAGCCTAGAACACTAAAGCTCACGGACAGTACCCAGGCCCTAAGGTCAAACCCCAGGACTGGCATTACCCCCCCCCCCCCAAAAAAAAAAAAAAATTCAGAAGTTGCTGGAGTCGAAAATGAATCCGTAGTCCTGTTCCTTTCTCCTTGCTTTTTTTTTTTTTATGACCTTCTGTAGTTGTGACATAAGTAATCTTGTCTATTGTGGCAGTTTCTGAGGACGAATCTATTACTTGGGTTAGACAACCAAGGTTAGATGGTGAAATCCCGAGAAATCCCCAAGTTCCAAGGACTTTTCCCCCTACATTTATGTTTCATTGCTTTGTGACCTTGCCATCACATATTGTTTTCAAGCTTCAGTCTATACCTGTATAGTGGAGCATATACATGCAACTCCCCATATTTATACAAGGGTTTTTCTGAGGACTATTAAGATGTATTGAGAACAATTTGTTAAGGAAAAGAAAAAACAACAACCCATATCTCTGGCTTATAGGAAATAGAAGTTCATTTGCCTGTCTGTTTCACTCAGGATGACCTGTTCAATATTTATTGGAGGCTCATTTTGAGGCAATCACTACGGTAGTAATGTATACAAATGATTAAAACATTGAGTACCCTTTTTTGGTGGGCCAAAGCCTCTGCCCTTGAGGCATTCACTTTCAGGTGAAGGGAGAAAATGGAAAAACAGAACAGAGAAAGGAGGTGTTACGAAGAAGAAAAATCCTAGAGGCAAGATAACGTGATTAACAATGTGTAAAACTAATAAACCTTTATTATCTTGCAAACAATTATGAATTGTGATTTGTGATCATCTCCCAACTAGGAAAATCTTGACAAAGATTACAATTTGCTTTTTTATTTGGGCAATAAAACAGTTTGACAACAGAGTTCTTATCTCTTTGCTTTCAAAATAGCATGAAATCTCTAGAGAAATCTGTGGCTTAAGATATTGAACAGATAGCACGTGAGCAATTTAATCTTAGTTTGGATCTTTACGCAATTTGATTAGCTAGCAAGCAAGCTGTCTGTTTAGCTCCTTCTGTTTAGTGCCTACAGCCTTTGTTAGCAGCAGAGGACAGATTACAACACAGTACTTGAATGAACAAAATCTTAAAAGTCAGGAGTCAACATTCTTGGAAAAATTCTATTAATTAAAAGGCTCATTCTGGGTTGTGATGTAGCTCACTGGCAAAATGCTTGCCTAGCAAGTTCATTGTCCTGAGTTTGATCCCCACTACCAATAAATGAATAAACAAATTAAAAAATAATTTATTTGCTTCCTATAGGAGGAAAAATTTCTGACACCCTGTTTCTCTCCATCAAGTTAGGGTGGTATTTCTGTGTCCACTAATGTCAAATATTTTGAACAGGTGAAGGACCTGGTTACATGACTTACAAAGATAGGCTCTCCTGTGGCAGCATGGGTGGGGAAGGTTCCGTTGACTGGAAAGCCAGTTAAAATTTTTGGTAATGTTCAAGCAAAAGGTCATGAAGCCTGGAAATGAGACAGTAGAGGGCCAGGGAGGAGGTTTGTGACAGAGATACATCAACTGAGGTGGAATTTACAGGATTTAATGACTGACTGAATTCAGCTGATAAGAGAAAGGCAACCTGAGAAATTCCTCCATTCAGAACTGAGTGAAATTGGTCAGATAATTACATCATTCATTTAGAGACAGACACAGAAAGAGATACAGATGCCAGGGATGTAGATAAGTAAAACAGTATGGAATGTTAAAATGTTAAGTTCAGTGCTTCTAATATCTTAGAGCCAAGGATAGATTTAAAAAAAATACTTGAACTGCGGTGCTGAATATCTCTGGGCTTGGGCGCTGTCCCTGAACTCTTCATTTTAAGGCTAGTGCTCTACTACTTGAACCACAGTGCCGCTTCCAATTTTCTGGTGGTAAATTGGACATGAGTCTCACGGACTGTCCTGCCTGGGCTGGCTTTGAACCACAATCCTCAGTTCTCAGTCTACTGAGTAAGCTAGGATTATAGGTGTGAGCTATTGGCACCAGGCTTCCATAACTTTTTATAACAGGCTGCTCACTGGTTTTGTAATAATTGCTGGAACTTTTGCTTTTGTTGAAAATCACTGACTCCCCACGTGGGTCCACAAATTAGCCAAAGGCAGAACAAATGCTAGACATCCTGAACTATCTATGTCCTTTTCCATTCTCTCCTGTTGTCACTTTAGAACCATCTTAGAACCCTGGCAGGTGCTGTGGCCACCTGCCAAATGTCAATGACTCTTACTTTATCAAGGCCCATCTAACCAATCCTGAGACAATGGGCTGTCAGACTACCTGGGACTCTTGTAATTATGCATACTTTTCTCTTTTCCTCATTTCTTTGTTTATTGAAACCTATAGCCAATGTCTACACCTTTAAGATGGCCGATGATGAACTAAAATGGTATCTTCTCTTGGCTGCCCATGCCACATAATAAATGTGTTCCTCACCATTTCTTTAATGGCCTAAAGGGGTGAATGGTCAGTCCCGACATGTGGAACCCCTGGAATTTGGGGCTTAGGTTCTAAAATGATTGCTTTAGCTCCTTATTTTTACCTGGTGGATGAGTAGAAAGTGCTGGCATGGGAGATGTCCTGCTGGCATCGCTAGGGTTGGGTGAGAGATTAAATTGCTAACCCCAGAAATTAAATCACATCAACCATGGCAGGAAAATGAAGCCATAGATGAAAAAGAAATCACTGATTCTGGCTTCTGTGTAAAGCATCTCCTAAATAGAGGTGTAATGTTCAAAAGGACTCTATCCTTTCTCTCCTTTTGAATTTGTATGTTTTTAAGTCAAGTGGGCCCTGGAGAAGAGTGAGGGCTTTGACCTCTAATTTATCTGTTGTTGATACATCCTGAATCTAACTGACAAATCATCAGATTATCCTTAATTTGCCTGAGGGTAATAAAATATCCACCCTCGAAAGCAAATTTGAATTGACTTTACAGAGAAATAGAGTTCAGTTTTGCTTGTACTCAACTGGTCATTTTTCATTTTTTAATGAAAGTAGTAGGACTAAACTAAATGATGTATTAAAACCAATTATCACACATACAAGATCCAAAAATATGCCTACATTAAAATCCTAGCTCTAAGTGTATCTATCAGTGTCCCCCTAGAGAGAATGAGAGAGAGGGGGGAAGAGGAGTCAGTCCATAGAAGTTACTACTGACAATTTGTTCCCCACAGAAATTTAGTATAAAACAAATTGCTAAATTAAATGAAAAGATGACAGACTACAACTTCCACACTGAAGGTAGCACTGACTTATGCCAGTACCACTAGGATATGATACTGCTTTATGTTTATCTCTTGGCCAGATGTAGGTGAACGTAATTTAAGAGGCTTCACCTCAGCCTTATCTACTATAATTGAGTACTAAAAACCCACACAAAGCTACTAAAAATCACCAACACAACCATTTTAAAAGACCAAACCCAGAAGATCATGATTTTGTGTGTACTGTTAATCTGCACATTGTTCCAGTGTTAGTGTGTGTGCTGCTCAAGCAAGCATGCATCTATATGACTTTGAAGGACAGGCAACACTCCTTATGTGCAAAAGAGGTGAAGGTGCTGCTTGCAATTGAATTGGTAGTGACTGTGGAAGAGAGGAAACACTGGACACACCAGAGGACACAGGCCCAGCTTCCTGGGGTATTTACAAACATGGATTTAAATCCACCACGCTTCCTACTACAACAGGACATATTAATTTCAGACTAGAACTTACTCCTTGAGCTGCGAATGGTGGTACACGCTTATAATCTCAACACTTTGGAGGCTGTGACAGGAATATCATGAGTTCAGGCCAGCTTGAGCTACATAGTGAGATCGTTAATTAATTAATTAATTAATAGTTAAGTCCTGTGGTGAAGCTTGAGAGGAGATTGTGGATGGGATTCTAATGGTCCTGAAAAACAAAATATATTTGCAGTGTTGTATTTTATTTATCATTATATACATCGATGTTTTGCACAAGTGAAGTATTTTCCGAACAAATAAGGAAAGAAAGAGCATAAGGAAACTTTTTTTTTTTTTTGGTCGGTCATGGGGCTTGAACTCTGGGCCTGAGCGCTGTCCCTCAGATCTTCAGCTCAAGGCAAGTGCTTTACCACTTGAACTACAGTGCCTCTTCTGGTTTTCTGGTGGTTAATTGGAGATAAAGAGTTTCAAGGCCTTTCCTGTCCAGGCTGGCTTTCAATCTTGATCCTCAGATCTCAGCCTCCTGAGTAGCTAGGAAACATTTTTATTTGACCTGCCAACAGGGTGGACATCTGATACTCAGCAAGCCTCCCTTAATATCTGCTCTAGCACCCCCAGCATGCACTTACTTTATAATGTGAAGTATTTTCACACATGTACTCTTGCTCTGCTATCTTGCTGGAATGTGTTTTTCTGTGAATGATCTTATCAACTTCTTTTTATTTTTATCCTATGTGCTAATAAAAGATAAGAAGTACTACTTTGCATGTTCTTGAAGATATAT